TTGTCCACTGAGCGACCAACCATATCTAGGGAGTATGGTGCGGTCATCTTTGCTTGACTCGTCCAGAAACACGAGCTGCTCAGCTGTATAGTTGGTTGTCATGTTGTGCAACCAATCAGCTCGGAAACCATCATCACGTTCGGCCGCAACCCTGTTCAAGTGTTTGTAGGTGAGACCAAGGTCCCTGAGGTTTTCGTGGAGAGCTGACGTCGATATAGGCTGATCGTGGTATATGGCGAGCCATTCACTGATCTTGTCAAGTAGCAGTGACGGGGTTTCAGCTAGCAGCTCGTGGATCTTGTCTGTCATAACTTGATCCAGCAGGCGAGGGCGATCCATGATTGGTGTAGGAGGGTTAACATGACCATGTTCATCATAATTTACCTTCCACCACTCTATGCTTCTGGGCGATACTCCGAGAGCAACAGCAATGTGCTCAATGTCCCATCCTTCCTCCAAAAGCAGGTACAGGGATCGTTCTTTCCGATCGCGACTGATACTCTGGTAGACCATGACGAGTCTGAGTGACAAACGTGTGAGATATGATATCTTTGAAGCCGTTCAGAGGCATACAAAACTCGAAAGTGATTTAATTGAATTTTCGACATTTTCACTATTTTTGAACCATTTCGAACACGTGAGTCAAGACTTTCCGGAAGGACTGTAAAATCGGGCCCTTCTCTCGATCGTAAAATTTTTATACGAAAATCAGCAACGCGTCTTTCCTCTATAAGGCCAAACATAACAATGTGATTGTCGATAGCAGAATTATGCTAATTCTTGTGATTTAATGTACTATGTATTCTTATTTATTGCTATCTACTTTCCTCACGGGTTCACTGATGGCCATCGTCTGGGCTGTCTAAGCGTCGCATCAGGGCGCGGTCTTCGATGGCATCGCAGATGCAGCGGCAACGGGAGGTGCAGTAAATGGTGTGGAGGCCGCAACCTGTGATTGCGAAGATCATAGCTGGGCTAGAGCGTGACTACACCAGATTGCTGGGCAAGACTGGTCTTAAGTAGTAATAGGAGGTCGTGAGCTGCCTGCTGCCAGCAGCGTTTTTTAATGGCACTACTAGCTGTTGTCTCTTTCACATTGAAGCGTTCCTCTGTATGATGTGAGAAGGAGTCAAAACAACGAGAACGATAAAAAATATATTCGTTGGCCGTTTGCATACGGGACCTCAACAGCTGTTGTGCGACAGTCGTGCAACTTGATGCCTTCACAACATCGTCTGCGTCGTGCCGAAAGGTTTGAAACCCTGTTTCAGAGCGGAAAATAGAACGCATCATGGGCATCAAAGTAGTTATGGCGGTATAATGAAGAAAGCGGTCAAGAAGCACGTCCATGCTATACTGAACATAAACATGGAATGATTATGTGCAGAGGAGTACTCTGGCATGTTGAAGAGGCCAGCTTCTCTAGAATACTCGCAAACATCCCAATTGTACGTGTCCGGCGTTAGATTATCCTACACTTTACGGTTCCCCATGGAAAGCGTCACACCAGACGCAGGTACACCTCTCCCCCTGCGCACTACCAACGCCTCTTGCGGCCTCTTCGCCTCGAAATCCCATGTAGCGAACATTTGTGCGTCAGGTAATGTGAATGTCGGGGTTTCGTTACTGCGTCCGTTGACTGTACCCTCGTCTTTACCTTTCCCGCCAGTAGGCGCCCCTGATGCAGATGAGTTCCAGGGGGCGCTGACACCAGTTCCATAATATAGTTTCTGGTTACCCCGCTGTAATACGGGTGGATGTGCGAGACGCGTAGTGCGTGCAAGCACGGAGGGCTATAAGCGGTGCCGTCGTGAGACATCAGACGAATGTGCAGAACAACCACTTACAGGCAAGATCTGACGCGCAAGATCGGGTAGACGTGAAGATTGCTGAGACACGAGAAAAACGGGCTTGTCTGCAGAAAAGACAGGGCGGGGTGGCGCAGAGGGAAATATAGGTTTGTTGTTGGACTCTTTGTCGTCTTTGCCTGCACGTATATCATCCAGAGTCGACTGCGGGACAGGGTAGGAAGGGCCGATGACTGCAATGCGAGGTGGGCAGGGTACGATGTTGGCGTATAGCGTATCCGGAGGGTTCCACCGTGGATTGTTTTGTACTTGGGACAGGAGCATCGTTGCGACTTTGTGTTTTAAGGGGTTTGGTGGGCCGGGAGGGGGGACGGGGTGCGTGAGGATATGATGGTAAGCTTGGAGGAGCGCTTGTGCGGTTTGGGGGGTTGGGAGGTGAGGTGGCTGCTTTCTGGAGAGGGCACTAGCTGGTGGGGGCGAGGGGAGGTGCCACTCCGGGGTAGTAGCTAGAACTGATTCTGAGTAGTCGACCTGTGTCACGTAGTCAGAAACGGTGTTGGAGGTTATGTGCTGTGGAATAAGCGAGGGTGGCTTTTCGAGTTTTACAGTGTGAGGGGTTGGCGTTGGAGATACGCTTCGCGGGCGCGATGTGTCATCTGGGAGTGGAGGGAGGAAATCCGGAGTAGTCGAGCGATCGAATAAGTCATCGTAGTCGTCAAAGTCATCCAACAAAGGTTGCGGCTCGATAAAAGGTATCGCGTCATCTTCGTGGCCCTCCTGTAGATAACCTGTAGTAAAGACTGTGTTCGATAAACAGCGGACAGGAGAATTTATGAAAGATACCTCTGAATTCTAAGAGATCGTCGAGTCTCCTGGCACTGCTGCTCGCATACCTCCCCAGGTCCTTCCCTTCAGAAACACAATATTCGTCTAATTCTTCCAGGTTCACACCTAGATCTTCTAACGAACTCAATACATCCCATACTGATATTCGTGAGCGTCCTGAAAGTTCGGCGTAGTCACCGCAGACAGAAGATAGTAGAACGAGATAGCGGGAAATGAGGCTGGCAAGCACGCCAGATGCCTGTGACGATGACCTCGAGAAATTATGAGCGTGTAGAATCTTTAGGATGACCGAGTCGAGGATGGTCGCGGCTGCAGCTTGAGACGCCATGTCTGTGTGTGATCAAGCTAAAGACTGTCTTCCCAAGTTAGGTAGCAGCTTATGGGTGCTCAAATGACTAGTACTTACTACTAATAGTTGTGTGGGGATGTTGACATGGCGTCCCACGCCTTGCAAGTTGCAACGCGCACCTGCATATACATATGTAGAAGGTTCAGGGTGGTTTTCCCCAGGCAGAGAGACAAAGGAGGGCCCACACCCGTGTATCTGACTCGGAGTTGGGTACAGCCTCAGTTCACTATTGCAATATCCACTCGTCTACTCGGCTCCAGCGTTGCCTTTCTGCTCATGCACTCCCCTCCTACACGAAACGTAGTCTCGGTCTGCGGCTGTCTCTCCTAGAAGAGACAGTGTCAGAGTGATGATGATATTCCGAAGTTAGTCGCCATTGCGACGCCAATGTCTGGCAGACCAGCAACTTGAATAAGTCGTGGTCACGCTCGGTGTAGATAAGCTTGACTCAGATATATCAGTCACTTCAACCTCTTCGGCATCACCTTCCTATTCAATGGAATCATACTGGAACTTGAATGGACCAAGGGGCCATCAATCGCTCTTGTTTTCCGCTAATCGCGATCAACGATCAATGTTATTCACGACAGATTTTGTTTAGTCTGCGTACTGTATGTAGTATTAAACAAGAAGATGAAGTTACGTCTCAAGCCTCAATGTGCGTGAATTCCTGCTCTGGTCTTCCTTGTCCTTGTTAGTTGGTCTTCTGTATTGTGGTTGCGCCATGATATGGGCCGCGGGGACCAGTTGTTCTCCGACGGGGACGACGCAGTTATAGCACGTATACTGGTTATCCATGATCAATCATTGCTTGCAACATACGAGTCCCCAGTTTCAAGTGCGTGCATGCATATCCATCGTGTGTTTCCTTTATCCTAAATACATGCCGAGGCAAATAGCTGAGTTGCCCAAACAGCATGTTCACCTCACCCGTAGTACACTCTCCGCTTTTACTCTCTCCAGATTCATTTTACAGAATCTACAAGTGCTTAAGCATTAAACCGCGGCGCCCCACCTCGGTGATTCAAAGTTGTCCTCCACCCAGTTTCAAGTGTATGCATCCTCCTCTGCAAGGCCTTACTGATGTGTTTCAGATGTAAGTAGGGTTCGATTCAAGACAGGGATTCTGCCGTTTCCTCCTTATGCAGTAACTCTGGTTCCCGATCTTAGGACATGGGGCGCCAATGCCACTCAGGTACTTGTCCGGTTATTCCTTTGCAAAAATGTTGACGAGTTTAAGTTACAGCACCACCTGGCCACCTTGGCAAACGGTCGCGGAACTGTAATTGGCGGCGATAGCGACTGTTAAGTTCCCGAGTCTGCGGTCATTTGTTAAGGGGGTAATGGTATGCGAGCGATTCATGAAGGTCTTTAGTACAGCAGTCAAGCCAGCTCATATACAACTGAGCCCGCAGAATACACAACAAGCCCGCGTCTGTTGCCCATTGCTGGTAATATGAATTCTGGTGTGTATGTTCATTGGAGTTGCATTGAAGTACACATTTTCACGATCTACTCTGGGTCCACTAAGTAATATCGGGAATACAACTCATGGGTCGTGATATCAAAAAGTTTTATGCAAGTATTACACAACTGATATCAGTGACATCTATTTAACGTCTTCGGAATACGCTCCCCGTCGCAATTTATGCCGCAATGCTCCTGACTACTGGCAAAGTCATGTGGGCACCGAGCATCGCTCTATCGAGTATCTATATGTTTATGCTCAGTGAGTTGAGCTGCCCCATCCCTGAAAATGTGAATTGGATGAATAAATTATCATCGTCATAGGTCGTCATGGACCAAAGCTTGCTAAACCGTACTGAAAGCACACGTGGAGTGTGTCCGGCACAAAATTTATGACAGTGGATGAGCTAGCATCTGTTTCGTGATTGCAAGCACAGGAAAATTGTTTAGCTGCGCCTTGTACTACTATTCGTGTATAAAAGCCAACATGCTTCACTCAGAAAACACCATCAAGTTTCAGTGCTTCAGCCATGAAATTCACTTCACTCAGCGTGATCATTACTGCCACAGCAATGGCTAGTGTAGTCATCGCATCCGTCATTCCAATCGTCCAAGGAGGCCCGGGTGGCCCAGGTGGCCTAGATGGTCCAGGTGGTCCAGGTGGCCCGGGAGGTCAAGGAGGCCCAGAAGGAAATCCTTCAAATGGCACCTCCACAAATGGGACCCAACCACTAGGCCCTCCCGCAAATGGAACCCAACCGCTAGGCCCCCCCGCAAATGGTACCCAACCACTAGCCCCCCCGCAAATGGGACCAAACCACTGGCCCCCCCCCCCCCTGAAAGGGCGCTTTCAGACGGGCCTAATCTAGCCTGCAGCACAGTCGGTGAGCACTTTTTCAGACTACGTGGAGACCTTGAACCACATGCTTATTGCTATCCACCGATAAAGTGGGGTGCTCGAACGGCATTGCAACTTACAACGATGGCAACGATTTCGTGTATATCTGTGGAGTTGACAGTAAAATGGAATATTGGCTGCTACTCTCGTGCAAGGATTGCTGTGACACGTTTAACAGCTTGGGGAACATCATTCCCGACTCGGGAAGCACCATTCCAAGCTTGAGGGACATCACTCCAGAGTCCGAGTCCTTGAGCCTTTGACTTGCTTTGACAACACGACAGTGCTTGGGTGAGTCTGTCTGTTCTCATTGTCCTCCACTGGCAGAGTCCGACTCATCATCGATGTGCTTGCTTTTTCTAGTACACTGGAAACAATTAGCGTGATACACCACGATGCAGGAGGGCGTGCAAAGGTGCTATGATCGAGAGGGTCATGATCGCACTGTCTCGTTGTCTTAAGAATTTTATATAGATGTGATATAGACAATTGACGTACGAACGTTCGTGTGTGGACTCTGTGGAGTGACCAAAATAGGTGGCGAGGAGTAGTGGCCAAAAATGCGAAAACGTGCTGGGAATGATGTATAGCTGAGATTGACCCCCCATGGGCTGGTCTTATGAAGCCGCTTAGGCTTCTGGGATCCACACAAGGATACATCCTAGACAGTGGATAATGAGACAGAAAGATGGATGGTTTTTTTTTTGGCTTATAGTCCAGTGTGGATATAACAATACAGCACTATTGGACTGGGTGATTTTTTTTCGCAACAACTGTAGCTGTGGCGGCGGCGGCAGTATCCGCCCAATATATGCCATGTTTCTTCCTGCAGCCACACTCCGAAGCTCTCCCTTTTAAACATCATCGAGGCGGTCGTGTTTCCATCCCAACACCGATTGTCCTTGTAGAAGGGGCAGTGTGACTGAATGATTCATTCATCTGGTGAAACGACAGGCGTGATGTTATTATTCCATGAAGCATACATAACATATGACGAATGAGAGAGCAAGCCGATACTGACGTCGTATTTCCTTCACATATTAGACAAGAGGAGGAGACTACCCGTACCCAGGGCCGCAGTAATGGCAACGATCACGACAGTAGAGGCAGTGCCCAGGGAAACTCCGAGAGGACCGTCCCAATTAGAAGGGACGGACAAGGTAACGAGGGAGGAAGGCACTGTGAAACCTACGGATGAGCACGCGGTGGCGTATGCTAATGGAAGAGGTCAATAAATGGTAGAGATAGGAAAAGGGGAAAAGATACCAGTAAGAGCAGCGGTTGAACCAGCACGGGGATCGGTGCTAATTGTGAACTTTGCGATCAAATCGTTGAATATGCATTGCTCGCAGGAGGTGACAGCGGTGACTGTGTTAGATGCGCAGAGACAAGAATCATTTGTTGCGCAGGTCTGAGGGAGTTCAGATAGAGAATGAATCCAATTGATAAAAGAATGAAGACATACGATAATTTGAGCGTCGGCGTTGGAACATTGGGTCTGACACTGATTGAGAAGGATTAGAATGGGATATGAGTGATGGGATCGAGTGTCTCACGTCGGTCAAGAGATATATATCAGTAATGTTGAGGAATTGGGTCGCATCGATAGTTCCAACAGAACCACCAACATCGATAGACAACGAAAGGGCTATGATGACGTTATGATATAGGGTTGATGGAGAGAATCGACGGGACTGACCTTGACCAGCAAGCAACAAAATAGAAACAAAAGCAAAATGCATGACTAGCAAGCTGGGAAAGAGCAAAGATATCAGCTGCGCTGGAGGGCTTATAAGGCTACTGGAGCCTAGCTGTAATTAGCTATAGCACTGGTTCATTTGACAGACACAGCGTCACGTTCGAGCGGGAGCGCCCCGCTGTAATACCACCGATCTCCGAGCCGCGTTCCACGTGATCATATTGTTGACGCGAATTGTTCAGACTTCAACAGTACTTACTTCCATTTAACCATCATGGCTCCAATCGCATTCAGCGGTACAATTCCTTCAAAGAAAAAGGCTGATCTTCAGGCTATCGCAGTTGCTCTGAATATCAGTGATACTGGGACAAGAGAGGATCTACAAGGCAGAATCAAGCGTCATCTCGAGCAACATCAATCACAATATGAAGATGACCCTACGTTCTCTGGCCTATACGGCAAGAAGAAAAAGAGCATACAAACTCCCATAGAGTCAGTCCTATCAATATTATCATTCTCCTCCTCATATCCTTCTCAGGCGTTTCGTCCCCAGTTCACCAGATGAACAGGAAGAGAAACTCCACAAGAGTCCTCAAGTCACTCGCAGTCGTCGTATCGTCCCGCTTGACCCACGTGAGACAACCCCTGTCGACGATATGCGAAACGTGTCTATCATGCTCAAGAATCTTCCCATATCCCCCGACGCCGAATCCACCCCCACCTCGTCCGCTAAACCTTCTCCCCAGCGCAAACCTGAAAGCGCCCGACCTATCACGTCCATTCAAAGAACGCGTCCAGTAGTCCCTAAACCTGTTGCTCAAGTAGCTCGTGAATCTCTGGCAAACCTACAAGTCAACGTGCAGAAACACACCCGAACCACCTTGTTGACGATGCGTGCCGTAAGTCTCACCTTGTTGTACAGAATCATTCATTAACCACGTGTTCTTCAGGTCCTCTCGGACTCTACCAATATTTGGTTCCTCACTTCTCTCCTCGAGCTATTCTACATTCTCTACATGGTGATTCCGTGGCAGACTTTCGTGGTTTGTTTCCTGTCCTGTCCCTCACTTCACGCGTCTGACCCCTGCTTTAGTTATCACCAGGCTCGCCTAGTCAATTTTACCTCGCAATCCCCTATCCCCCCGCTAGCACCTTCTTGACACCAACCTTTTGGACCGTCCTAATTCATTGGTCAATACCCGACATCTTCATACCTCTCGTCTTCGGCCTTCTCGTCTCCTTCCACCCCGCTAATTCTACATCTGCCCGGATCCCGCGAGTCATTGCTCTCGATCCCCTCTCAGCTTCTATCGCCCGTCTGGCATGCCATGTCGCCTACCCCTTCCGCGCCCTTGAGGCATCCCTCCAAGGCGTGGATGTTATCGGTCAGAAATGGCGCCTGTTGACAGCGTCTGTCGTAGTGGCATTTGCGTTCGCAGAGGCTATTTTCAACGCCCCTAGTGCGTTTGCTGAGTCAAGGGCTCGTTTACGTGCATCAACCCCTAGGCGTACTGTCCCATCTGAAGACACGCCCGCCTCTATCACCGTCACTGGTGAATCGTGAGTTTTGCGCGTTGTGTACATTATACATCTACTATGTTGTGACGACTCGTTCATGATCGATTATTTTCCTTTGGTTTTGCTTTTATCGAGTTGCTGTTTTGTTAGCGTCGAGACAGTATTTATTCTTTACCTATTGGCAATTCTATGATTTGGAATATCACTATTACCACTGTTACTGTTTTCTCTGTCGCAACATCGATGAGCGCGCGATTTCTTTTATTTCGTGTTCAGTACCGCCCCTATCCCCGTCCAATATATCGATATCGCTCTTACGATGGCATGTATCCGATGACCTTGCATACTCTCATCCTGGACCTTGGTAACTAATCATTTAGCGTTCTATAACACGTAGAAAGTACGCTGAGGCAATTCAAGTAAGTACGAAACTAAGTGCAAGAAAAAGAAGACGTGTACCTCAGCGTTGGTGAACAACAACTGAGGTACGCAAACAACGAGGCGGGGATAAAGACGAATAGAGCTTGAATTCATTGAGAAGTGAAGCCATCACCTGTCCCTGTGGTATTAATGTATCACTATGGCATAGCAAAACTCTGATACATTATTGTACTATAGATTATGGTTCCTACCTTTGCCTAATACCCTTCTGTACTGTCACGGTCTTTACAAAGTTGGTGGTACATAAGTGAACGGCACCATACTAGTAGAATAAATTTTGACATTTCCAACATTTCTGTTATTCGACACCTGCTACTTATCACCTAACCTCTACCACTCAGGTCGTGTCCTTGCTCTTGTTACCTTTTCGGGTTCGGTTTATGTTGGAATTGAAAAAAACCGAACTTGACCGCTGCGAACCGTCCGCAAATTTGGTTCGGTCCAGTCCGTCAATACAGGTAGAACCGAACCTTGGTCCGATTCTTGTCCAACCTTCCCTGAACAGCGGATCGCGGCAGTACGGCTACTGTCAGCTAACCGGTTGCGTTGTTTTATAATGACGCAAAAGTGCCTTTTTTGCATTTTAGTCCGAAACTACATTGACTCATTTGTTTGGAAGTCAAAAAACTTAAGTGCCTACTTATAGTCACTGATCATCATATCTATCACAACAATTCTGCGACTTGTAAGTCGCCCATTTCGGCGCTATACGCGAGGAAATTCGTACATTATGGCGAATACTATGGAGTTGGTGCAGGTATGTTCCCCATCGTTTAATGTTAAACTCTCCTCACTAACACGGCGGATGCATAACAGACGGGCAAACGTGATCGTCTCATAGAGCTGGAAAAGAAGTACCAAACGAGATGGCAGGAAGAGGGTATATTCGAAATCAATGCCCCTTCACCCGACGAGCTGAAAGGCTTGTCACCTGCCGAAGTCCAGGACAAATACCCCAAGTGGTTTGGTAATTTCCCTTACCCATACATGAATGGCTCTTTACATCTGGGACACGCATTCACCATCTCGAAAATCGAATTTGCTGCCGGATACCAGAGATTATTAGGCAAGCGTGTCTTATTCCCTCATGGTTTGCATGCAACTGGCATGCCGATCAAAGCGAGTGATCCCAGACATTTGAAGATCGTTCATCTGATTTCTGATTTCTTGGACAGGCTGCTGCTGACAAGATAATCCGTGAGATGGAGATGTTCGGCCCAGATTTTGAACGATTTGTTGAAGAGGCGCAAGACGATAAACCAATAAAAGTAGCTCCGAACGGCCCAGCTGCGCCTTCAGCAGCAGTTGGGAAGGCCACGAAGGGTAAGATTGCCGCAAAATCCACAGGACTGACATACCAGTTCCAAATCATGTTGTCAATCGGCATACCGCGCACGGAAGTTAAGAAGTTCGCGGATCCCCATCACTGGCTGGAACACTTTCCTCCAATTTGCAAGGTTTGTAAACAGATCGCCGGTTATTTTTTCATTCTTCTCATTCATGTTCTACAGGAGGATAACATTGCAATGGGAAATCGTATTGATTGGAGACGTTCCTTTGTCACAACCGACCTGAACCCTTACTACGATTCGTTCGTTCGATGGCAAATGAATAAATTACATGCATTGGGAAAAGTCAAGTTTGGGGAGCGATACACGATCTACAGCCCCAAAGACGGACAGCCTTGTATGGACCATGATCGATCTGACGGTGAAGGTGTCAACCCCCAAGAGTACACTGGCGTCAAGATGGAGGTTGTAGAGTGGAGTCCAGCTGCGAAGGCCATCAAAGACAAAGTTGATGATCGAAAAGTATTTTTAGTGGCTGCTACGTTGCGCCCTGAGACCATGTCGGTATTCTTATCTTCATCTTAACACTGTTTCTTAGTACATCCACAGGTATGGCCAAACCAATTGTTTCGTTGGCACCTCCATAAAATATGGCGTCTTCGCGATCAACGATAGAGAAGCATTTGTATGCACATATCGTGCAGCCCGTAACATGGCCTTCCAAGGTCTGTCGCCTGAGCGCGGCCAGACTCAACAGCTGTTGGAGATAGATGGCGCAGCCTTGGTGGGCACAAAGATTAAAGCACCATTTGGATTGGCTCCCGAGGTGTATGTGCTGCCCATGGATAATGTTTTGGCTACGAAGGTCAGTCGTTCAGTCGTCATGGCCCCGCAGACCTTTTTAATATTGTCTTAGGGTACCGGTGTTGTTACTTCTGTACCATCAGATTCCCCCGATGATTTCGCAACTGTCAGCGATCTGCGCAAGAAGCCCGAATTTTACAAGATCGATCGCGAATGGGTATCCATTGATCCGATCCCCGTGTTAATGACTCCGACCTATGGCGAGCTGACTGCGCCCCGCTTGGTCGAAAAGCTGAAGATTCAATCACAGAAAGATGTCAAGCAGCTGGCAGAGGCGAAGGAAATTGCGTACAAGGAGGGTTTCTACAGTGGAGTGATGCTTGTTGGCGAGTTCAAGGGTCTGACCGTTCAAGAGGCAAAGCCCAAAGTTCGCGCAAGCATGATCGAACAAGGCTTGGCTGTTGCATACGCCGAGCCAGAGAACCTAGTGATCTCGCGCAGCGCGGACGAGTGCGTTGTGGCCTTGATGGACCAGTGGTATATGGATTACGGCGAACCTGTTTGGAGATCACAGGCCGAGAGGCTCGTATTTCGTATTTCGTATCTCTTTTCTTATTTCGCTTACAAATAGACTCAGGTTACTGGCAAAGATGGAGACATGGACGGTTGAAACTCGGAACTTGTTCGAGGCCACCTTGGCATGGCTGAATCAGTGGGCGTGTGCTCGGACATACGGCCTGGGGTCCAAGTTGCCCTGGGATCCCCAATTTATGGTTGAAAGTTTGAGCGACTCGACTATCTACATGGCATACTACACTGTTGCACATTTGTTGCATGGTAGGTGTTAGAACCGACTTTTATCATCTCACTGATCCCATCCACTTAGGCGGTGACATCTTTGGTCGGACACCTGGGCCTCTGGGCGTCAGCGCCGAGCAGATGACGGATGAAGCCTGGGAATACGTCTTCTGCAACGGTCCGTGGCCCGATCCAGAGCCATTCTCAAAGGAAAAAGCTGATGCATTGAAGCACGAATTTAATTACTTCTACCCATTCGATATGCGTTCCTCCGGCAAAGACTTGGTACAAAACAACCTGACGTTCCTGCTTTATAACCACGCCGCAATCTTTCCGGAAGAAAAGTGGCCCAAGGGCATCCGCACGAATGGACATCTGATGCTGAACGGCAAGAAGATGTCGAAGAGCACCGGAAACTCACTGACGCTGAGGGAAGGCGTGCTGAAGTTTGGTGCCGATGCAATGCGTTTGTCCTTGGCGGATGCTGGTGATGGCGTAGAAGATGCCAACTTCGATGAAAAGACTGCCAATGCGAACATCCTGCGCTTGCATACGTTGATGACCTGGTGTGAGGTATATGAATCTCGCTCTCTGCGAGACTACGTATTAACAACTACTTTAGGAAATGTTCAAGGATGAGTCCGACCTCCGTACTGGTCTTAAGAACTCTTACCATGATCGTGTGTTCGAGGAGGAAATTGTCGACCTGATTAACATCACAAAGAGTCATTACGACGCGTGAGTTCTATCCAACCATAGCTTTTCATCGGTCTCAGTTGTCTGCGTTAGAACCGCTTTCAAGGACGCACTGAAGTTTGGCTTCTACGAGCTGCAGAGTGCCCGTGACTGGTACCGAGAAGTCACCGCCGATATTGGGATGCACGCAGACTTGGTGAAATACTGGATCCGTGTTGCTGCTTTAATGATCATGCCTTTTGCTCCTCACTTTGCAGAGCATATCTGGACGGAGCTGTTGAAAGAGCCTCGGTCTGTACAGCTGGCGTTGTGGCCAGACCCAGAGCGCACCGCGGACAGGTCAATCATTGAGACCGGCGTGTACATGCGTGGAACGCTGAAGACGATCCGCGATGCTGAAATTACGTTGTTGAAGAGGTTGCAGAAGGGCAAGAAAGGCAAAGGCGTTGAAGATGCGCTATTCGACCCCAAGAAACCCAAGGCCGTCCGGATTTATGTTGCGACCAAGTTCCCTGAGTGGCAGGAGACGTGCGTAAAGGCCGTCAAGGATTCGTATTCGAGGCCAGACGATAAGGTAGATGATGCGAACGTGCGCGACATCCTGATAGCGAAAGGGTTGATCAAGGACAAGCGCGCTATGCCATTCATTCAGGCTTTCAAGGTAAGAATATATTATTACCTTCTCCTTCTTTGTTGGCTCATCTCATTTCGAAACGCAGAAACGAATGTCAGAAATTGGTGTCGATGCTGCGTTCCGGAGATCATTGTTATTCTCCGAGTCTGAGATTCTGAAGGAGTTGTTGCCATATCTGAAAAAGTCTTTGAGCTTAGAAGATGTGGAAGTCTTCTCCGTTGAAGAGGCGTTGCAGAGAGAGGGCTCTGGTTTCACGCGCACCATCATAGAGTCGTCCGAGCCTGGAAGCCCTGCCTTCGAGTATCGCAACGTATAGAATTGTAGAGCTCAATTCATTCTCACAATAATACCATCCAATGTACTTAGCAGTCAATTGTAGTTTCAACACGGTATCAACAACCAAGGCCATTTATTTAGCTTCGTGCGACGTTGTTCAAGATCAGGCGATGAAGTGCAACGCGAAAAGTAGAAAATTGACATGATCTTGAGATTGACCAAGACATACACTGCAAGCTTTGGAACAGTCCGTCACACATTTCTGGCAGACGAAAGAGGATAGGATTCCTCCATTGAAATAGATGACTCTACGTTACTGATACTGACATACAACTTTTATAGGGAATTATCCCACTGCGCCTGCTTCACAGTTCATCATGGGCATAGAAAGGTTCGTCATCCTCAGGCTCGCTTGGAGCACCATTGTAAAGCTTGCTCGTGATGGGGTTGACAACGTTCTGAATCTCCACTAGCTTTTCCTCGAGCTCCTCAGTGGAGGCACTCTGGCCGTTGTCATCAATCCACTCCGTAGCCTCCTTGATGGTGGCAAGGATGGTCTTCTTATCATCGTCGTCGATCTTGCCACCAAGGCCTGTCTGGTCACCAAGTTGCGACTTGAGTCCGTAGACGAACGTAGACAAGGCGTTGAGGGACTCGATGCGCTTTCGGTTAGCTTCATCCTCTGAAGCGAAATCTTCAGCCTCGCGAACCATGCGTTCAATGTCCTCTTTAGACAGACGACCCTTCTCGTTCGTAATCGTAATCGACTCGGATTTACCACTAAAAGCGCGGTCAGTGTCCTACAGCGCTGACCAGAACACCGTCGACTTACGTTCCCTTATCGGAAGCACCAACCTTCATGATACCGTTGGCGTCAATCTCGAACGTTACCTCAATTTGAGGAACACCACGAGGAGCAGGGGGAATGCCCGAGAGCTCGAATTTGCCGAGAAGGTTGTTATCCTTAGTTAAGGATCGCTCACCCTCGAAGACCTGGATCAGGACAGTAGGTTGGTTGTCAGCAGCCGTTGAGAAGCTTCATAGATGATCAGTATGATGTATTCACTCGTGAAAACAGAAGTACTCACATCTGTGACTTGCGAGTGGGAATCACAGTGTTACGGGGAATGAGCTTGGTGAAGACGCCACCGGTGGTTTCAATGCCAAGTGTCAAAGGACAAACATCCACCAACACGACGTCTTCGGTACCCTCCTCACCAGAGAGGATACCACCCTGGACAGCAGCACCATAAGCAACAGCTTCATCGGGGTTAATACCCTTCGACGCCTCTTTGCCAAAATACTCCTTGAGGAGTTGTTGAACCTTGGGAATGCGGGTTGAACCACCAACAAGGACAACCTGCAACCGCATTAGACGGTGTGTAATAGTTGTGAGATGACTCACTTCGTCAATGTCCTCTTTGTTAATCTTTGCATCCTTGAGTACCTGCTCCACGGGCTTCATAGTCTTGCGGAATAGATCCATGTTAAGCTCTTCAAATTTAGCGCGAGTGAGTGTCTCTGAGAAATCGTTGCCATCCTCGAATGACTCGATTTCAATGCGGGTCGACTGTTGACTCGACAAAGTGCGCTTGGCCTTCTCGACCTCGCGCTTCAGCTTGCCCATGGCGCGAAGGTTACTGGTGACGTCGGTGCCAGTCTTCTTCTTATACTGTTTGACGAGATAGTCGATGACGCGGTTGTCGAAATCTTCACCACCAAGGTGGGTATCACCAGCAGTTGCTAGGACCTCGAAGACACCATCGTCGATCGAAAGTAAAGAAACATCAAAAGTTCCTCCTCCAAGATCATAGACGATAATCTGAGACTCGCCACCCTTCTTATTAAGACCATAGGCGATAGCGGCAGCAGTGGGCTCATTGATGATACGAAGGATATTCAAACCAGCAATTGTACCAGCATCCTTCGTGGCTTGACGCTGAGCGTCATTGAAATCTGGAGACAAAATATTCGTAAGCGAAGGACAGTCAAATCTGCGTGCTGGCCTACATGCAGGAACCGTTACTACTGCGTGGGTAACCTTCTCGCCTAGATAGGCTTCCGCGGTCTCCTTCATCTTTGTCAAAATCATGGCGCTAATCTCCTCTGGAGTCTGAAGAACCCAATTAGTAAGGTGTTGGAAGTCTGGTCTCAATAACTCACAAATTGGCGTGTGTCACCCTTGTAACCTATCGAAATAGCTGGTTTGCCACCCTTGTCAACAACGTTGAAGGGAAAGTGTTTCATGTCGCGCTTTAATTCCAGGTCGTCCATTTTCCGGCCAATGAGACGTTTGGCGTCAAAAACGGTGTTAGTTGGATTTGAATGGAATGCGTTCTTAGCACTATCGCCAACTCTGTAAGGCAGAGATCAGTCATGATGTCCTGGGTTGCGAAAGAAAGAAAAACTTGCAGCCGCTCGTCATCAGTGAAGCTAACCCATGAGGGTGTTATACGATGACCCTGGTCATTGGCGATAATTTCGACACGACCACCACGTTGAACGCCGACACACGAATAAGTTGTACCCAAATCTGCGAATAAGTTGGTGATTTGAAACGAATGTCGCAGTATAGGTACACTTACCTATGCCTATAACAGTACCGTATTCACTGTTCGAACTCGCAGTGGCACCGGGACAGAAACAAAACAGAGCGAGGAAAGCAAGGAAAAAGAGAGAGAGAGAAGATGCCATACGCCATGACTTGGCGCGAGACGGGCGGCCAGACATTGTTGTCACAAGAGAAGTTGGTACTGAGTGGTTGAATCAGCTCTGATGTATTTATGTCTTTCAAAGGACACGCAAATGACACGTATACATTCCCACATCTTTAATTACATAATTTAGAAAACTATCACGTGATATTGCATTGTTGCATGGCCATATATATATATCATCTTTGAGTCAGCACCAACGGAGTAGAGTCACGATATCCAATGGATTCATCTACTGAATCGTTTCATCATCATAAAAAGACTTTGCATTCGAAGCGTTCGTTTGCAAAGCATCATTCAACAGATTCTCCTACTTATGACGCGCAAGTACTACTTTTTTCCATTTCTTTGTACACATAGTTTACCGAGTTTTTAGGTCAGAAGAAGATAATGACCCTCTCAGTACTGATGACGGAGGCTCTTCCCTATCCATCCCAACCCTCTCTCGTTCAGCTAAAACTCCCTTCCAATCAAAGACAACATCTCGTGCTCGTCATCAGCTGGCCTCCAGCATGCTCTCAGATGATGGCACTGATTCCCAAACATATGATGGTGATGTGGAAAGCAGCGTCACTGCAGCAGCCGGTTCGCATCCTTTCAACAAGGCACTACATTCTACTCTTCAGTATTCTTCATCTGCATCAACATTAACCTCTCAAATCGATGATGTGCTACCGTCGTCGAAATCTATAACACTTGCACCCGATGAACCCATGCCTACCGCCGAAGCAACATCTACGTTTAACCCTGCTTCCCTTACTCCCGAACATATTCAAGCCTTCATACGCGAGGCAATTGAGGGTCAACCCTCTAGATCTTACAAGATTAACCAACCACCATCAAATCGGCCTGTTAGAGTTTTCGCAGATGGTAAGTATTACTTTAATTTTGAAAAACTTTGTATTCATTCGTATTATTAGGAGTATACGATCTATTTCACTTCGGGTATATTTGTCCCTCCCTTTCTGTGTTATAATACTGATCTTCGAGCCAGTCATGCCCTGCAATTACGGCAAGCCAAGCTGTCCTTTCCATCGGTACATCTACTCGTTGGTGTTAATTCTGATGAAGACGTCATCACGCGTAAAGCACCTTGTGTGATGACACATGCTGAGCGGTATGATGCTCCGGTTATCCACAACTGAATACTCAATCACTGATATAGATGTGAGGCTGTGCGACACTGTCGCTGGGTTGATGAGGTCATCCCTGGCTGCCCATGGGTTCTGGACCAAGCTTTCATTGATAAGTGGAATATCGACTACGTTGCTCACGACGAACTCCCTTACGTGTCGGACGGTCATGATGACGTCTATGCATTTGTAAAGGCACTAGGTCTGTTTCCTTTCTTTTTCCCTACTCTCTTGCAAAATTTTGACATGTTTCAGGTAAATTCATTCCTACCCGGCGTACACCGGGTGTGTCTACTTCAGAACTACTCGAACGTATCGTGTCAGGATATCGGAAGCGCAATTTTGACGGGAAATTAGAAAAGATAGGCCATGCTGAACTCAAAGCTGAGGGGTCAAACTTTGATGACAAGCGCTAGCCGATGCGTAAGTGCGCAGACATGTTTCAAGTCGAAGTTTACTAGATATGTCTGAATGGCAAGCTTGCTCGAGTTTAACCCATATACATCACCGTAATATAACGTATTTTCAGGGCTTCGCCTACTTTTAGGTACATAAGCAAGCAATCCGTTCACCTTCGGATATTTAGAGACGGAAACAGACGCACAGAGTGAATAGCATATCCTGAAGGGTAAGCTTACTCATACTCAGAGGACAAATTCCTCCACCACCAACATTGTTTCGTCGTCGATCCGTCCCAGGAAGCCCGCATCGCAAAGAGTGGAGCTCAAACACGGAATAAGTGGCGCACAGCAGTACTAGTGGGGGCTCAAGCTTCAAGTGGAGCGCGCATATTGGAGCGGGGCGCTCTGGCAGGACAGGTCGGGAGTGGTAGGTGTCCTAATTCGTAGTCGGTCCTCGATAGAGAGAGCCGTAACCTCCCGCCGTAGAGGTCCGGCCTTGGTTCCCCTTGCAGTCCTTCCCATTACAATATGTAGTCAAACGCTTCTGCGGGATTAACCGTTTCGTCCTCAGTATGTTAGATGGTCCTTCCGGTCGTTGCGTGTACTGGTGACCGGACGATCTTGACCTGCACACATCTGTACTTGAATTAAAAGTACAATAAGTCTTAAGCTTAAGAAGCACCGTGACAGCGGACAGCACCCGAGCATGCCAGTGACGTACATAATTGACCGTATTAATGTATCATCAACTTGCTTTTTGTCGCACGACATGGGCTCATCTACACCTCTAGTCAAGCCGGCAAGCACCAGTAGGCAGAGTACTACTAGTAGTATCAGTTCACCTCAGAATAGAAGCTGGTGGGCTAGATCATGGACCCTCGCATTCATAATTGCGCTGGGAGCCACAGGAGGGACCTTGACTTGGCTTCAACCAGAAACTCATTCCTTAGACTATGCAGTCTGTTCTGCCAACCGCACAATCTACACAGTCGACTCAGATCTTCCCAATGTTCAATGCATCCTTGTACACGATACCCTCATCTCAGACACGGGTGATCTAGGTACGCGCAAGTCAACATGGCCTTCTTTAAACATCCAACTCACGCGCTGCGCTTGTGACAGAGGATATAACCTTACGCTGGCAGAATCGATGGTGGTCAGAGATCCCACTGCTGGCGGGCGTCATCCACTTACCTTGGCCATTCAATTTTTTCGAGTCATCTCTCAGAGTGATAAACATTCAACTTGGTAGCATCGTAGTTCCTGGGCTGACTGGTACGAATCGCCAACTTGAATTCGAATTTCGAGCCCTAATTCTTGACCCTTGAAGATGCCCATGCTCATATGTTGCAATATGGTTCTAAGATGAATCTCAACTTGGAAAACTGCACCTCTGTTGATGGTTTGCTCCAACTGATTATGTAGTCAATTTACTGATGCGACATGAAAGAGGTCTTGAGCTACTTGAAAGCTTATGTTACATCACATCCTGACATCCTGGGCGATCCAGCTCGATGGATAGAGGGCATGGGATGGGACCAGAATAAATGGCCTGGAGCGCAATACCCTCATGCCGTATGTCTCTGTGTTTACTTTCTCTTCACAGCTTCTCACAACACCAAAGGACGACTTTGATAGGGAACCACTTCTTCGTGGTCGACGGATATCTCTTGCCCGTATTGATGTTCACGCCTCCTGGGTATCCAACCGCGTGCTGCAGCTCATGGCACCCCTTCCTGAAGAGGACATCGATGGCGGGCTGATTATTCGTGACGAGCACGGAAAACCCACCGGTGTGTTTCTTTTCTTCAGGTGTTCTGTTCTTGAGGTAGTGCCTCCTTGTCTGAAACCTATATGGAATCACAGGAATATTCGTTGATAATGCTATGGATCTCATTCCCTCACCACCCTTCAGCGAGGCCCGCGCCATGGAGTACTTCACTCGCGCTACTAGTGACGCGCTCGCGGTGGGTCTGACTAGCGTGCACGACGCATTTTCTGTCCCTGAAGAAATACAGTTCTACAAGAAGTACGTGACGCATGCTTTCTCCAAAATATTGAATTAATTGTATCCTAGACTTTCAGAGACTCAGAAGATACCTGTCAGCTCTTTGTATCCTTGAGCGTAAGCACTTTACTGACACACGTACCAGCTCCGGCTTTATCTCATGGGCAGTGTGAACTCTGATGAGTACTGGGGAAGCCAGATTCCAAGACTGATCCAGCACGGATTCGGTGGACGATTGACAGTACGCAGTGTCAAACTTTTCGCAGATGGTCGGTCCTGTTCGAATTGATGTTTTGTGATTATATTTATCTCAATCGGAATAGGTGCGCTTGGTTCGTTCGGCGCCGCACTGCTTGAGCCCGTGAGCACCCACTCCTCTTACCGTTCGAGCATGGATGTGCTGATATAAAAGATCTCAGTATAGTGACAATCCATCAACGAGCGGTATCATGCGTGTGCGGCCGGAGGCACTGGCAAAGCTAATAATGGAGTTTTCGACCGATGGTTGGCAAGTTGTAAGTGCCCGATGTTCATGATCTTTTTTCATGCTTGCACTGGCTCAACTATTCGACCATCACCACTAGAACATCCACTGCATTGGCGATCGGGCGAACCATGTCGTACTTGACATTTATGAGGATATGCTCGCCAACACTTCGTTTTCCATAAACGTCTTGCGACCCCGTATTGAGCACGCGCAAATATTGACACCAGATGATATCAAGCGAACTGGAAAGTTAGGTGGTAAGAGGTCCGGTTCTTACGCTGAGTTCGCGTTGTCGATGGTATATGATTCCAGTGATACCTAGTGTGCAACCAACCCACGCGTGAGTCCATCGATAGGCATTTCCGACCACCTGACTGATATATCTCATCTTACAGGACAAGCGACATGTGGTATGCTGAGGATCGGTTGGTAAGTTTCCTCCTTTTATCTGTCTTAGAATACATCAAACTGGGTTCCTACAGGGTCCAAAGAGAATCAAAGGCGCGTATGCGTATCGAACTCTACTCAAGTAAGTTACCCTTTCTTATGGCCTTGTATCGAGCTGGAACTGATACCCCACAGCGCGTCTCCAACCAGAGTCTTGCCCCTTGGCTCTGACTTCCCTGTCGAGGGCATCAACCCCCTTCTTGGTTTCTATGCCGCTGTTTCACGGCTCTCTGTAACAGGCGACTCGCCTCATGGTCCCGGAGGATGGTGAAATTCTGTCATACTCTTGAATGTGCTGATTCGAAAGTTATTGATTACACTCTTTCTCTAGGTACCCATCCGAGCGCCTCACGCGCGCTGAAGCGCTCAAAGGCATGACGCTCGATGTTGCATATGCGTCTTTCTCTGAGGATATTCTCGGTTCACTCTCCATCGGGAAGAAAGCTGATTTCGTCGTTCTGGATCGTGATATCATGACGGTGCCTATAGATGATATCCTGAGTGCCAAAGTGACAGCAACTATCATCGATGGGGAGGTCGTGTATGGAAATCTATGACAAGCGGAGCTATCTAATGTGAACACTACCAAAAATAAGCAGCTCTTGTCAAACTCTGCCAGTCAAACTCTGCCAATCAACACTTGGATTAGGATCGGTACATTTGGTTCAATTGGGAGGAATGGTTAGATACAATGTTCCCTTCATGCTCATTTTGTATATTCCGAGTTAGTCCTGTGCATGGGTATTTTTGGCGTCAGTGAAAGTCCCCATCTTGCTTGTGAAATCATTCAATTAAAATTCTTCAAATATGCTCGCAGAGACACTGTGTTTTAGGTTTTCCGTTCCACCGTCTTATCCGAGTAAAACAATTTCATCGGCCCAAACTCTTTGCATCTCCAGCAAGGATTCATACAATCCCAAACTAAGTGATTTTAGATATATTATTCGCTTCATGTTGGTATCAGCATATCTATCCATGACTCGAAGAGCAGAGTCGAATTTGCCGAGTTACTAAAATTTCTGGTCATACACGAGCCCTTCACGGTAGTTCAGCTGCGGCAATGACACTCAGTGCAACTTTTGATCCTGTCGTGTGAGTGTCACCTTTACTCAATGTTTTAAATCTCTTATCTTTCTCCGGGAGGTGATTGTTAATCAATTTACTCTGTCTGTACACTGTCGGCATAACATCATGCCAAGGGGTTGATCTCGAGTCGCAGAACTTAAGCTGGTGGATGTTTCATTCACCAGAGAAAAAATTCTACTTGATAGGGATGGCAAACAAGGTTCGCCCGCATCGACACATGTCTCTACTCGTATGAAGTGATTGTTGTTAGAATTTCACGAGACCCAAGGGAAGATGACCGTCGTCGAAATATGGTCAGCGTTTTTCTAACTTTCTCGTAATTTTCTATTGCATCCACGGTCATGCGAGCTCATCAGGCAACTGCCGACGCTATCGTGCTGGCTTGCTCTGGGTTCTGACTATTGGTATAAGGACAATTTTTTCATCGCTTTCATGAATGAATGACTTGCATCCCTCCTCTAGACTCGGACTAGCGCAGGAAAAGCAGGAAAATCGGAGTTGGTTCAACATGCGTTCGAATCAAATGACGGAGTTGAGTCAATAAACCAGTGCGAATATCCTCGAACACATACTCGCACTCGCTTGTCTTCCCTGGCAGCATATCTCCAAACACATGCGAGGTGACATAGATATCCAAAAGCAGTTTTCCACCACAGACAACTCAAAATTCGTCCTTCACGATGGCGGTGGCTTTCAAAGTGGTAGCAGCAACAGTGTGTCAATCGTGAAAGACTTCATCACTCGCCGGCATGGGTCGAGGATCGTGACATACATCGTGTGCCTTACACGCATAATGCAGATCTTGTCCCTACTTGCACCTAAATGGCCCCAGGCCATCATCTATTCTCCTGTCATCAAGCGTGCCATGACGGCATAGATATGGCGAGCAAAAACCATATCCATGCAGCGTGCCTTCACTAGTAATTCATGTACTTAAACACATGGTTCATCGATGACGCATCCCTCTACCCACGAGCCTGCCAATGCAAATGCTTCTCGCAAAACTCCACCCAATTGGTCGGGATTGACGCAACAGTAACATACAATTTCAAGGTCGACTGTTGAAATAAGTCAAGTCATTGATTGGGTTTAAGGTAATTCGTTGAATATATATGGAGATCAGAGAATGGTCCATCGACAATGCACCAAAACAGCAGGGTATGACCTAGTTCCAGCTATGTGGCATCATATCTCGTCCCTATCATCACCACTCATCGATCCAGCACTCTCGAGACCTGCCTTGCTCACTCGCCTCATGGGCTGCAAAGTGTTCTCATCCACGGGAGCCCGTCTAGCATGTCGATACCGTCCCTCTCGGTCCCTTACTTCCATATCCTGGCCTGTTTCCTCTCCTGCTTCCTCCTCCTCACGGTCCCATGAGGGCATTGGGGGCAAGCTCTCCCTAACATGCGCTGGCCGCCTGCCCGTGCCCACACCGACGTCGCCAACACTACTTTCACTCACTACGGCAGGTGGCTTGGGCTTCGTCATACGTCCGAGCTCTGCTTCCTCGAATGCCATGAGTTCGCTTACAAACCCGATATTCGGGCTGATACCTTTGCGGCGATCTAGCACGAATTGGTATGCGCGTGCCAGCGGCCAGTGGTGGCTGTGAATGAGGTACGCCATCACTGCGGTGACGCTACGTGATTTGCCGGCTTTGCAGTGCACATATGTGGGTGCGTTGTAGAGAGCGGCTTCGTCTGTATCCGGAATCAGTCCATGTGCATCAAGAAACGTATGACGGAAACGAGAAAAGCCAACAACCTAATTCTCCGCTGACAGAAGCATCGGATTCTAACAAAAGCGAAGCACTTACCAAGCACATCACAGGCTTCACTCAACCCCCTACGTACTCCTTCCTCCTCGACACAATCCCTCATCGGAATATGCACATACCGCTCGAACCGTTCCCGAAGCATTAGGCCGCGATCGTCTGTGCATTCAGCTGCAATGTTAATAATTCGCTTCACACCCAGAGATTGTAATTCGGAGACATGTGAAGGTGAAATGAGTTCTGGGCCGAGGAAGAGGAAGTTGGGGAGGATCATAGAAATGACGAACTCTTCGCGCTCGTTTTCGGCATCGGAGGGAGTGCCACTGGGTGTGGATGTTGTGGGCGTTGGCTTTGCAGTAGATGGTGTCATGGGCATTTGTGGTGATGAACCCGTATTCCCAAGGCAACTACCATTGGTGATATTGAAATTGAAGCTCGAGTTAAACGCGCTCGCTGGGGGTGTGTGATTAGAATGGAGAAGCGTGAGATGCGACGGGGATGCAGGCGGCGGGTGGAGGAAAACGACCTGTTGCGAGGGTGTAATAGGGAGTGTCGAGCTGCGCGTTGGGGCTGTGTGAATCTGCAGCCGCGGGAGAGTTGTCACAGCATGTTTGATGGGTTTCGCTAGAGTTTGTTCGCAGACCGCGCTATCGTTTCCTGCTTCACTTGTTCCATTTGCATTGATACTGTCAACGTTGAGAGTATCTGATCTCCGTGGGGGAGGTGAGTGATGAAAAGTGAGTTTAGAGTGCGGAGGGTCAGAATCCATAGGGCTGTCAAGAGTGAGCGAGAGCCCAGGCATAATTGGTAAAGGTGAATGTCCTGGTTTTTCCACTTCGCCTCCATGTTCTTGTTCTTCCTGCTCGATCTGCACGCTGCTACTAGGCCCAGCAGCGCTGTGGGTATCAAGTTGAAGGAATGCCCTTCCCTTTGCGCTCTTAGGTGGTTTTGGCAGTTGCAAAGAGGCTTTGGAAGGAGAAGGAGGAGAATGAAGCACATTGACGATGTACTTTCGGAGTCGTGCATGAAGTTGAGCACCTACAATTCCTCCGCGAAGATACCAAACCTTGTCCGGGTTCAGGAACCGTGCAAGAACTGAAAGCAGGGCCCATGCAATAACGCCTGGATTATCTCTCTCCCGTTCATCAGTCTCTTCTCCATGAACGATGACGACATCCCCATCAATGTCCCAGGAATCGAACACTTCCTTTCCCTCATCATTGGTGATGAACTGGCGAAGTGATGCGAAAGTTGGTAATGTGCGTTTTGAGCGCTTAAGAATTAGGGACGGCATGGCGATATTAATGCTTCCTGAAAGGTGAGTCGCAGCATAGGCGACGTGAGTGCGCGTGTCGATGAGGAGTGGACGGGTGGGAGAGGCGAGACGAATAAGTAATTCAGCAGGATCCATAGCAGAAGTGGGAACGCGGGGAGATGGCATAGACACGGAGCGTTGCTGAGGCTTCCGGGCACGGCTTGGAGGTTCGGGGGGAGATGAGGTAGGAGGCCTAGGGAAGTGAATGTCAACGGGTGTGAGGTATGTGCTGCTTGCACTTTTTTGGGAGGAAGAGTCTGAATCAACTTGCCGCTGGCGATGGTGTTGATCTTGGTGCCATGGAATAGCGGTGGCACTTGGAACAGCAGTCTTTGGCAGTCTGCTAAACGAACGGATTGGTCGAAGACGAAGATTTTTCTGCACAGATTGGCGTAGCTGAGCAAGCGCTGCTAAGTCTCGCGACAGCTCATCTGCATCAGGAATGTTTAAAGCTATGGGGCTTGAGGACGAGGAGGAGGGCGAAGATAGTTGCAGGAGCTCATCATCCGATGCGAGCGGAGATTCTGATATTGATTCAGAAGACGTATCGAAAAACGCATTTGACTCGGACTCGAATGAGTGTGATCTTGACTGGATCGTTAAATTTGGTGGGCGTAGTCTCGTCATGGAGTCCCCAGATGTGACTACAACTTGGAGGGTAACTCCACCAAACGCTTTATAGCAACTTCAAAGTCACCAGTAGTTCTAGGTTTAGATAGAACTAACACAGGCTTTCCTGCGAGCAGAAAATCAGTTAAAAAAACCAGCAACGGAGATACGAACTTCAGAACAATAAAAACGGCGCTCTCACCTGTCTTGGTTACTTACACTACTTGGTTACTCGGATTCGGAATACCTCCTGACCCCGCGAGGGCCGAGACCCCGGCCGGCCGAAGTTGCTCAATTGATTCATTGTCTACGGTGTGAGAATCGGTATTAAATGTGACGGAGATGTCTCGCGCTGCGAATGATATTCCCGTCGATTATCTTAACTGTATACGTAGTCGTACCGCACAATAAAACAACGGAATGGCACGAAAATGACGCTGATATGCATCGCGAGAATAAACGAATGTCAAGCTACTGCTGCCCACCTGATGTCAACCTCTGCGCCACAAGTAAGACCGTGCTGATATTGTATTTACTGAGTTGCTACTGTAAACAGGATATATCGTCGAAGAGCGGACCGAAGGGTGTCCTCGTATGACGACTCAGTCGTCGCTAAAATAATGTCAATGAGTTTATTAAAGACACATGTAAGATAAGGGCAGATTTACTCTGATTGTTCCCTCCGTAAAAACATATCTATTGCTGCGGAAAATGCAGCAAATGCCAATCCACCACCAAGAGCGGCCTTAGGTCCCGAATTTCGCGCAAGAACACCGCCGGCAACAAAGCCTGCAGCAATAGGGTTTACTATGTCGTTCTTTGCACGGTACTGGTGAAGGCAAGAGATGAGGTCAAGGGAAACAATTAAATGACACTTACACCTTCAATTACACATTCTATTCCGGCGAACAATGCTCCAACTTTTCCGAAGCCCTTTCCACTTTTCCACATCCCTCTACCCATTTCCTTGAATATTTCACGGGCCTTCTGAGTGTTATTCATGCCGGTTTGAGTGGATTGCCGAAGTAAGGGATCCTCATATGCGAATGATGAGGACATGAGAGAGAAAAATGCGCCAATGCCAAGACCTGCAGAATTATGCTGATCATGAATTTTGAATTATGAACATGATGCACTTACCGCCGACTCCAGCAATGACTGTCTTTGCAATACATGACTCCATGGCTATGGTCATCCTCCTTTGGTATGTTCTAGCTTCGGTTAGTTGGGCGCGATCCTCCTCCGTCATTCCTGGAGGAAGGGGCTCCCTCCCTGCAGGAAACATTGGAGCAACCAGCGGGAAGCTCATAGTTACTTTACAAAATGAACATTTTCCCTTGTTAAATGCTTCGTTACATAAGCATGCATGTATACTCAAAACAGTACTATCACTTACTACACCTCCATGACAGTCCACTATTTTGTGATTTTTGCTTACAGCACTCAATTTCAAAGTCATTACTTAGCTACTTCACTGACTCTACACACTATACTAGTGTATTCCAATTGAGATGAAATAAATCCATTGAGAAATGGTGGAGATTGTTTTTTCAGCGTGACAGCAGCAAAATCTTGGATTGGTGTCAACTGCCCTGGCTGCCAATGTCGGACATTAAATTTAACAGTGCATTTCATTGCAGCTGCAATACAGAGTGCTGAGCTGGGCTCAGTCACTATGCCATGGGATGTCACTGCTGAGGCAAGCTGGTGGTGTCAACCGTATGACCCCAAGTATGAGTCCAGGATCTGGGTCACACTTGTAGGTGTTGCAAATGGCACCCACAAGAATATCACAGTAGCTGCAAGGGTACACAAGGTATGATCATGTATTTTTCGAGCTCTTGCAGTCTCAATTTCATTGTACAGGTTGCACAGCAAACTCTTAAAGACTGGAGCACAGGTCTGCATATGTCTCACAGGGATTTTGTCAAGTCATGGCAGCTCCTCCAGCCATCTGAAGAGGAAGCTGTCAAGGATTGGCTAGCTCATGAATTTGGTGCTGCATGTTGATGCATGGATGTGCATGCGCAACATGACACAGAGTATGATTGTTGGTATTCCAACATGAACACTTATATACTTGTTCCTTTGTGTTCTACCTTTCCCTTAGTCACTTACACAAGACCGAGGGTATGTTTTATCACTTACATGCCACCTAGACACTAACAATATCTCAATAGATTAATATGTGTCTAGGTATATAGAAATTTAGTCACTTACACAAGACTGAGAATTAACATGTGTCTAGCCTTTACACTGCATGCCCTGTCACCCCTGTGCACCCTCATGATTTATGTTCTCAGGTCAATGAGATTAGTGGAAAGATTCCTGGCAAGCATGGGCATCGTTGTTACCTCGCTCATCACACGAAGTCTATTTCTACTCACAAGCCATGGAATCTCAATCCAAAATGGGCTCAGAACTTCAATAAAACAACTGTTGAAGGATACTTTAAGCTTCAGGGTGAACTTGATCAGAAGTATCATGGTATTCCTGCAGCACATAATTGGAATATGGATGAGAAGGCTAATCAGATGGGAGGTGGTCAGAATGGTGATGGGTCAAAATTTATCTTTGCAGCTGAGGATTGTGATTTCTGTCAAGAAATAATATCATGAAAGTGCTACACCTCAACTGGTGCAGCTTGATAACTTGCCTTAGATTTTGTATTGTTAGAATATACATAGTATGTCTGATAAAAACTTGAATAGTTTGATACAGAAACTCTGACCTACAGGGCCTACAGAGTAAAATGCCTACAAAACTCACAGAGCCTATCAGTGGGAGGGTAAGTTGTTTGTTTTACTAGTGTGATATGTAGGTGTTTGAAAGCTAATTAATTCATTAGTGTCGCAACATCACCAACAGGCTGGACTGATTGGGACATCTGTGAACATTGGTTTATAACTGTCTTTGTTCCCAAGGCAGAGAAGCATCATGTTGATGATGAGCCAATCATTCTCACAATTGATGGGCATGATTCACATGAGACGGTCAAAATTCAACAAGCTGCATACGAGCATAACATCAAGTCAACCATGGAATTTTTTCGCTCAACCCCCAAATTCAAGTCACAGACTTTACAATCCACCTAGTACTAGTATGTATCAATACCTACATCCACATACTGTTACAATAACATTTAACCCTACTTATTTTTCCTTTCTGTAACCTTAGCGCCGACTCTAGACTCATCTAGACGCGGCTATTCTCTTATCAAGCGGGCTGTCCGCACTTCCTTTCTCTTGATTGTAACCTGACTACTATCATGTGCTGCATGGTTGTTTCACCTATCTTTGCTATCTTGATAGGTTGTACTATTTTCCTATCTTGTTGCCTTTCTTAACGTGGCTGCACCGCTCCTTGTTACCTGTATAAACCCCATGTACAACAGTAGTATTCCTTAACTTAATCTACTGGGTTTTCCCCCTGAATTTTGTTCTATAAGGTCTCCAGCCTTATAGTCTGATATCTGATTCTAAGACAGTCACTCACTGTCTTAGCCTGAACCCTTGATAGGCAGAAGTGCTAAAATCACTCGCCACTGATCCTAGATAGAAGCTGCCGTGCTCGTCTAGTGAGAACCCTTGAACCTAAACCCTCCTTGTACTAGGAGTTCAGAACAAGCTGTCAACAAGACTGGTCTATCTTTGACTATTGACAGAAGAACTATCCCAGTCGTAACACATACTACATTCCTGAGCCCTCAGCATCATTTTACACAGCATTAAATTTTTTCATTTAATGGTTCTATATACTAATTCTCTGTACGTACTGCAGCTCAGACTTACTAGTAGCATCCTAATCAATCACAAACTTCTTAATGTCTGCCAAATGGACTGTGAATTTGGCAGGTGTGTGTGCTTTTAACTCACTGCAGGCTGAAGAGGGTGCCCTTGCTTATGTGCAGCGCTAGGCTAATCTACATCAACAAATAGTCATCCACATCAAATCCATGTAGGTAACCAACCCTTCATGGCAAGAAGCTCCCCTTCTTGCAGTCTATCTTTGTTCTGAGTTGCCAATGCTGAACCCTGATTCCCCTGCCTGTTCAAGCATCTGTCATGACTTGATTTGAGGTTATAATTCAAATTAGCCTAGCCTTTATTCAATGCAGACATTTTTGAATATTGTGAGACAATCATGATCACCTACTTCCATTCAGTTGGTTCTTGATTATATCTTACTGGCCATGGCAAATGTCTAGGAATATAAAACACTTGTAGGGGCTTGTAATGCCCCAGAAGTCAAAATTTCCAACTATGCAATAGCTTTAAGATTTATAAAATCAAGGTTCACCTGAAAGGCATTCCAAATTTGTCCATTTTTCATACCTTTCTGATGCCTTTCGTGTTGAAAAAAGTTACTTCTGCTAAAGTCTAAAGATAAAAAAAAAATCACGTGAATGCTTTGGGAATTAGTTGCTAGGCTCGTGGGTAGGAGTTTGGATATTACTATCATGGCTGAATATGCTTCCGCATCGACCCCCCTCTAGGTGGTGTCTCACAGGATGTTGTGACCGGACAACTTAGTATTTTAGAATTTTTAAACTCCACCAATCCTTCTTACCTTTTGCTCGTCAGTCTCGTCGTCGTCCGTCCTTGTTGAATATGTCTTCATATAAATCAGCCGCGTTCAGAAACAAACTGCCCTCTGATCCCTCGGAATCAAAACTTTACCCTCAAGTTCCAACACTTCAAGAACTATTCCCCGCCTGGTCAAATGAAGGTGCGTTCTTATTTTGCAACATGACGTTCGTTAATTCTCCACAATCTCAGATCTTCAGTCTCTTCTCAATGAAGTCGGCGGTGATCTTGAACTTGCAGTCACTCGAATCAGCGAAGGTATGTCGTTTCATTTTTGCATTTTTCTTGTCATGGTTTTGCTAATTCCGTAACGACGACCCATAGGGCATGCGGAACAATGGGGTTCAGTTACGCGCAAAAAGGACAAAAAGACTCCTGTAGCCCAGCACGCACCGTCAAAGGACCCAAGCATCTCACGTAGCGACTCGCGCGGTGGTCGAGGTGGGCGCGGGGGGCGCGGTGGTCCTGGTAGAGGCAGTCGTGGTCGAGGTAGCACACGGGGTGCACCTGCAGTCAATGGTCATACTTCTTCTCGTGCCAAAGCTTCTGCCCCCGCTCCCGAAGACAAGCCAGCACAGGTTGAGGATCTCACTGATCATGCTGTTGATAAGCCAGAGTCGAATGAAGGTTGGGGTGTCGCCCAGGATGCGAATGAATCGACTACAGCTATGACCTGGCCTTCAGAGCCTACAATTGCTGAATCGGCTTCTGCTCAATCGCAGCCCACAATTTCTGCTTCTTGGGGTGCTAATACTGGTTGGGGTAATGTGGCTACAGTGTCCAAACCTCCTCTATCGGCTGCTAAGCTTCCGGCGACTTCCAAACTTTCCTGGGCTCAGATTGCAAAGTGCGCATCGGTTAAGAATTCGGTTTGATATTCCACGGCTGATCATTGCTTGCGCGCAGACCACAAGAGAAACTCGTCGTGGCGTCACCTCCTGTACCTCCTGCCCCATCAGTCATAGCTCCTGCGCCCGAATCGGTCTTTGATCACGCTCCTCTTCCACTAGTTGTCAATGGCGATGCAGAACTAGTATCGGAAGGTTGGGAGGATCCGACTACCGTTCAGCCTCCTGAATGGGATGATGAGCCTCAACTTCAACCTCAAGCCCAGTATCAACCTCCTGCAGACGATTGGGTTTCTTCTCAGCCTCTGTCAACGTCGGAACCAGAATCCGTACCAGAACCTCCCGCTGCAGTACAAGAGGAGCCCGCTGCTCCCACACCAGAGCCTCTAGCCGTCCTATCGGCTCTTCCGACCCAAATTCAAAAGCAGGATGCGCCCACTCGGTCCAAATCACCTATATCCATTTCCTCCCGTCCCGCGGTCCGTGGCAAGTACAAGGGCATCGATCAAGCTGTCGTCATGCCTTCGTCGACTGGTTTCACCCCTGGCCTTGACAAAGTGGGCATGCAGTTTGGAAGTTTGAGTCTGGGTGGAGATGTCATTGAGCCCACGCCGTAAGTCAATCTAGAACTGATATGAGGATCATCAACTGATATCTCTCGGTCAGCGTCGAACCTCCCGCTGCCGAACAGCAACCATCCCCACAGCAGGCCACACAACCACTTTCGCCACTTGCGCCTCCTGCGCCTGTTCAGCAACAAGAGCCTCAACAGATTACTCCCGTGTCTGTACCTTCTGTTGCTACCTCTATCGCTACTTCTCCCTCGCAGCCAGTTCTCCCTCCTCCAGTGCAGCCAGTTCTTCCACCTTCACAAACAACACAGTTTGTACCTCCCCAACCCACAGCACCAATCCCGCAGGTACCTCAGCATGCTCTTGCACCTTCAATGTCCCTTCCTACCCTCCCACCGTCGAGTACCAGCTTCACCCATCAGCCTCCCTCGCACCAGCCGCAGCATCAACACCAACACCAACACCAACAGCCACACCAGCCGCAGCATCAACCTCAGCATCAGGCCCAGCACCAACCTCAGCAATTGCCACAACTTCAGCCGTATGCTGCCCACTTGCACCTAGACAGCCCACAAACACAGTCTCAACAATACAGCCCTGCCCAGCAGGTGCAGGCCCAGTCTGCGGCGTACTTCCGGCAAGATGCACCATACTTTAATGCACCAACGCCTCCTCAACAGCAGGATTACAGTGCATCCATGAGTGGTAGTATGGGTCCCTTTGGACAGATTGGGACGCAGCATCAGCAGCACCAATCGCAAGGGAGTCACCTTAGCGGTTTTGGAGGTAGTGAATACTATGGTGACAATCAACGTGTCAGTACACTACTCCGGCTTGTTGTGCTTGTGTTCTGATTTATAAGTGCAGCAGGGTTTTTATGACTCATACGCGCAATCTCCAGGGTTTGGCGGCAATCGCAATGTCCTAGGTCATGATGATGTCAAGGGTCTTCCTACCTCCCAACACCAGCACCAACATTCACAACCCCCCTCGTCGGCCATCCCTCCCTCTACATCTCAGTCGTCGCAGCCTGCCGCTGCAAGCGCTCAGCAACCCTACGCACCGCCGATGCCGTACTTTTATCCGTATCCTCAAAACCAGTATTATGGCAGTCCCTACAACCAAGGTTATCCTACACCCTTCGTCAAGTACCCTGCTCCTACTCCGCCAGCAATGTTCCAGCACCAACACCAGCCCGCAAAACAGAGTGACGGGTTGAGTATGGGTGCGGGCGTGCAGCGCGGATTCGGTGGGTATGCCGATGATATAGGGTACCACCAACCCCCGCAGCAGCAGACGCAAAACAACCACCATACATCCAGTGAGAGGCAATTATATGGACATGGACAGGGGTTTTTGGGTCGCGGAGTAGCTGCACAGAGCGGGTCGCCTGAGGCGTCTTATCGCAAAGACTCCGGGCAAGGGGTTGGTGTGCAACAGCAACCTGCAGGCCGCGGTGTGCGAGGACAGTACCCACAGGTGCAGGGTAATTCAGAAGGCAATTTCTACCCATACCAGCCGAGTCGCCAATACTGGCAGTAGTTGAACGCGCAATAGGTGCTTTCTTCTGCCTCTCGATTTTTGTACGTACGCGTTATTGATACTGACCAGCTGGTGTTCATACACGCGTTTTTCTTTCGCTGTCACGCTCCTACTTTTTGCTCTTGATATCACGTTTCTATAGTTGGCATTATGTGTTGCATTGTAGTACTGTTCCAGCACCACTTTCTCATATTGTGAATAAAGCTGAGAGGGCTCATCCATATTCCCGATCGAGTGACGCCAGGCGTCACTCTTATCCAGCACCCCTTACATAATCAGATTGAGAGCCTCACCATTGCTCAAATTATGGGCACATAGATTCGTTTCTGATATAATTGAATCGTAGGAACTATCTAATAGTAGTATAGCTTGAATTGCTAGGAAGCAGAAATAAAAAAATATACAAAACTGGAGGAGACTTTCATTGTCCAAAAAATTTTGTTCTATTAAGTCAGAAAGTGGTTTACAAGGCCATGGAATGCAAGGGAATAATTTTGAAATTTTCGACTCACCAACATTTGGCTGCTTATATAATACATCACATGAATGTGCTTGGGCAGAACGAGAAGGCAGCAAAAATCAGTGATATTACCCACATAAAGCATCTTTCAATGGGTGCAATAACTTCTACAACATCATGCTCTGGAACAGAAAAGGATTGCAGAAACAAATCAGACTTTCATCAGCAGCTGGATTACAAAGAAGCCAGAAGTGGAGGGTGTCCAAGTCAAAGACACAGGATCTCCATATGAGGTGAGTTCCGGTGTCATGGCTCATTGCTGTTGTGCATGAGTAAATCATTTAAAAATAGCCAAACCCTGCTCAAGAGGAAGAGGAATCTTCTGAATCAGAATCAGATTCATCCATGGGAAAGAACCCATCTCAGTCATCACCTGTTGAAATATTTTCCAGCGAAAAGGACAAACAAATTCAAAAAATGCTGGAAGACATCTGGAATGGACAGCCACCCTACGATGACAGTCCAGAGACCTTCATAGATTCAGTTCTCAATGCTATTGATTACAAAGACTTCCCTGCCTTACATTGTGCTCATGCAAAACTCACAGCGAACAGCAAAGACAAGAAGCTTGATATGGTTTTCTGATCTTGCATCCCAGCAATGCTTGGTGCTTTGAACCTCTATCTTGATCTGGAGCTGTCATATGGTTGGTGTGAAGTGTCCTTTGTGGCCTTGAAATCACTAGGCCTTGAAATCAATCATGCACACAACATATGGACCTGGATTCATCACTTTCTTCATGATGAGAAGTTCCCGCTCCATCAATACGGTCAATACCACTCATCAATTCTTGAGGACGAAGATTTTGCACAAGATATTCAACTTCACCTGTCTGAAGTCCAGCAACAGGAGGGCTGCATCCAAGCTCAAGATATTGTGGACTATGTTGCCATACCAAAAGTGCAGGAGAGGCTTGGTGCCAAGGTCAAAGTAGTTTCAAAACAGACAGCACAGTGGTGGCTGTGCAAACTCGACTGGCATTATGGACAAAAGCAAAATGTCATGTACATTGACAGCCATGAATGTCCTGATGTTGTTGAATATAATCAGTTCATTCAATGATGGCAGGAGTATGAGAAGAGAATGTTTATCTATGATAATGATGGCAAAATTTAGTATACACCAAAGGGCTTCCCTATTGCTCAAGCTGGCCAATTTCGTCTCATTCTTATAACACACAATGAATCAACATTCTATGCCAACAACCATCACAAAATGGGGTGGTCTCACTTAAGTGAGCAGGCCACTCCCCAACCCAAGGGTGAGGGACTGTCATTAATTATTTCAGATATGTTAACATCTGAATGGGGCAGGTTGCAGCATGGTGATGAGTGAGTATTGCAATTTGCAGCATCACATGAAGTAATACTGACTATGTTGAAAATTAGTGAGGTGCAGGTTATTTTCAAGGTGGGAAAAAATCGGGATGAGTACTTTTCTGCATTAGATCCACTCAAACAAGTGGAGAACTCAATTGATATCTTTGATGACAAAACTAATGAATTTGCAACAGGCTTATTTATGTTCAACAATGCACCAAGTCACCAAAAACGAGCACCAGATGCTTTGTCAGCTCAGAAAATGTCAAAAAGACCTTGCCAGAATTGGACACAAGAGGTGTGCAATGAAGAAAGCTGAAACACCAACACTTTGCTTATGGTAAGCAAAAACCTTAATCTCAGCCACTTTGGCATTATATTCTGTCGTTGTCTGAACTTCTCAATAGCATCATCAAAAATTCACAAAACCTTTCTGCAACTTAGGGGAGGTGGTTATTGGCACCTTAGAACAGTTATGATTTCATGTGAGAATCAATTAATAAGATCATTGACGTATGTATCACTACATCATTTGTCTATATCCCTCACCACCAGTGGTGTTCTGTCCATACTCTCTTATTCTTATTTGGCCAGGAGCCTATATTATGTACCCAGCCCACTGAATCTCAAGCATCAGACTTGGACTTGCAAAACAGTTATGCTTCTCCAATTTTAGACCTAGACCAAATTTCTTACAAACTTGACCATCAATGGACGCATAATCCAAGTCTTAGTCCAATAGATATTAATGCATATTTCCTTGACAACACAGATTCCATCAACCCTGATACCTCTGTCCTGTTCTCTCCCACACTGTCATCTTCCATTCTTGAACAAGAAGATGCCAATATTCCAACATCACAGTGGCTAATGCCTTTTTTTGAGGGCGAGAAGGAAAATGTTCAAGTTGGGTCTGGTTCTTGCAAGCAGAAAAGTAATAATGCTGGCCTTGCAAATGACAAGAAAGCTCGTAAATCCACATAGTCAGTTTGTCTGTTTCATTTCCTTTGCATACTTTTCAGGAGTTACCACATGTACATGACTCTCACTCACTATGATTTTGCTTTCTTACACTCACTACTTCATATTTTCATTGATTTCATACCTTCAAATTGCATAGTACTATACATGAATCAATACACACATGTTTCTGCCTCATTATATTGTATATGACACGTGAATATTGAGACATGACTCTTGTCCAACAGTGAAAATTTTCACCAGGACAGAATTACTTGATTTGGCATTGTGACATTACGTGGTGTCACTGTAACAGTAGTGGTGGTGAGTCACTGAACTAAAAGTGTTAGTGTCTGGAACTAACTGATTGCATGCCTCTTGACTGGATATACCACAAAGATGGGCCACACATGTGGAATGGCACATTTGACAGTCAATGACAGGAATTCTATTATGTCGACAATCACCTGACTATGCCTGGTTGGTTCAAAGGCATGGAAACAATCATTTGAGAGCAGAATCTCTGGCCTGCAACTGGACTCAATGCACAGTGCGAGCTTAACCGCATAGACTGTTGTTGCTAGCGGCAGAATGGCATAGTGGAATGACTTAATCATATGCTTGTGGAGCACACCCAGGCTATGCTGCTGAGCAGAGATCTGCCCAAGTACCTGTGGGCTGAGGCTGTAAATTACGCAACCTGGCTGAAGAATCACCTACCTTCCAGAGTGACCCCCAGCACCACCCCCTATGAGCTGATCACCAAAACAAAGCCTAACTTGGTGCAAGTGCACAAGTTTAGAGCATGAGTCTATGTTTACCTGGGAGGGACTAGGAAGTTAGAGGCAAAGGCAGAGGAGGCTCTCTTTGTAGGCGTTAACCTCGAGAGTAAGGCCTATAGAGTCTATTGGCTAGGGAAAGAAAGGTATTTGTGGAGAGGAATCTCACATTTCCCCCCCTTATTGCAGAGGGTATACAGGATGAGGGGGAGTCCAACATTATGCTGCATGATAAATACAACGACAACAGCAGTAATAATAAGCTGCACAATGAACACAACAACAATAGCAGTAATAATAACTTACCAGACATCCAGCATACCCTCTTGCAACCTTCACCAGAGCATATAGAAACCCCTCCTCCCCTCCAATCCACCAGAAACAGGCCAGCACTAGGATACTATGCCAAGTTTCATGAAGGAAATGTAGTGTCCATAGCAGTGGAAACCCTGCAAGAAGTGTCAGAACTAGACCTCTTGCATGAATAGGTACATATTTACTTTGTACTAGCCGCAGCTCAGCCAGAACCTACTCTCCAATAGGCATTGAAGGGACCAGATAGAGTTGAGTGGCAGGAAGTGGTAGACTACGAGATAAGTCAGCTGCTGTGTCCATGGCCATCACTACAAACATCATCTCCCACATCCAAAACTTCAAGTCCCACCTTTGCCAGTACTTCAAAATCTCCAACCTAGGCAAACTCAATTGGCTGTTATGACTTAAAGTAACCAGAGACAGGATAGGACACATCATAACCCTCTCCCAAAAGGTGTATGTTGACACCATAATCAACAATTTCTACCTTGCCAATGTGAAGGCCATTCAAATATCTATGGAGTCTGGTATCAGCCTCTCAGTAGACCAATGCCCAGGTACACATGCCGAACTCCAAGCAATGCAAGACATACTGTATCAATGAGCCATAGGCTTCCTCATGTACACTGCCACAAGCACCCACCCCAATATTGTCGCAATTTATGTGAAACATGGGAAGAGTCCATTGGGAAGTGGCTAAGCATGCGATAAGGTATCTGAAAGGTACCATGGATTTCAAGCTGATGTTGGGAGTGACTGATAGATATATAGAGGTGTTTGTAGATGCGGAATGGTCCTCACAGCCCTACTGGCACTCAATGAGTGGATACATTGTGATGCTGCATGGAGGACCTGTAGGTACACAAAAACAGCCTATAATTGCACTGTCAACTGCAGAAGCTGAATACATTGCACCAACAAGTATAGCACAAGAGGTACTTTACTTTCAATTGCTTCTCAGCAGGCTTTATCATGCCCACACACTCCCTACCCCAATCCTTTATGACAACCAAGCTGCAATAGCATTAGTCTCCACTGAAAAAATTCCAGTCCCGAATGAAGCATATCAACTTATGCTATCATTTTGTTCGTTCCCATGTGAAGAATGACACATTCCAGCTCCTCTACTGCCCAACTAACGATAACATAGCAGACACATTCACAAAGCCACTTCCCTACCCTCACCTACAGAAGTTGAGGATTCATTAGGAAAAGTGCAGAGTGACCTGAATGACCTGATTTCAGAACATCCAGGCTAGCAGGCTGTGTACTGGCAGCAGATGAATCTATCAGTGCCAGGTAAGCTATCTGGTGCCTGATCAGATTCAGGTAGTCTTCAGATGTAAAACAGACACATATCAGATACTAACCAGACACATCAGAAATGAAAAAGACATTGGTTTCTAACACAGAATCCACAAATACATCTACTAGCAGTCACAGTAGGTATAATCATGATGCCCTGCATGTATCTAAATCCTAGCTATCTCAATCAGATAGTGACTGATGAGAAAGTTTTCGGAACATACCTTCGACTTGTGTGACAGTCAGGAATCCATTTGTTCAAGTTGAGGACCTCCATCCTCAGCATCAGAGAGCAGAACCACACCACAGATGTCCATAATATTGTTGTCGTCATTGTCGAAACCTTCATCATCAGATCTTGCATCCATCTCAACCAACTCTGTCAAGGCATTCTTAATAGCTTCCCACTTGCCTCCAGGCAATCCAGTGGCTTGTTCCACATAACACATTGCGATGGACCCCCATGCTGCATCAAAGTCAATGTTCTTCAGATTTTTACCACCTGCCATGTCTAAATTGCACTTGGCTGCCTCTTTTGCCAATTCACCCTCAGTGTAGAGTGATAATGCATGGTGGTACTGCCAGTGAATATCTGTCATTAGTATGAAAACATGGTAATAAGAGAAATGAGACACACCACAGCAGCTGCCAAACCAAGTGCGCCAATTTGTTTTCCGAATGTGCTGAAAGCCTTACCACAGTGTTTGATATAAGTAGCTGCAAGTTCCAGTAGTATGGGTGACAACCAAGCTCCTTTGAAATTCTGGGCACAGTGACAGATCAACACCATCTGACTGCTAATATTAGGACAATGCAGACTTACCTTGATATCTGCAAACACAAAAGGTACACATTTTTGGTTGTTTACTTTACATGGCAAATGGTCATGAACAAATTTGATCCAGGCATCAATGTCATGGCAAAACTTGGGATGTCTGAATTGGCATTTGAGTATCTTGAGAGCATCCTTTCCAAATGTGCTGCACCACTCATTCAGATGATTAGTGGCCTATAATATGCACTAAGTCAATCAACTTAAATGAACAGTATCACCAACAGACTTACAATTTTTTTGATAGTGGGGTGCTTATTGATATCCAGCGCATTATGTTGGAAGAATATATCCCAAAGCTCTTGTGGCCTTGGTCCTAAATCAGGATGCTTGTTTGTACCAAAAGAGTCGGTATGGTACCAGCCCAATTTATAGTCGCAGCAATCAAGCAATTCCAAATATTGCAGTCACCTTTGTCCTGCAAAGGAAGGTCTTCAAGTTTCAGCTTCCGGAGTGGCTTGTGTGGCTTTAACATTTTGACCGCTTTTTCTTCTTCCTTCACAGCATCGTCAGCTGCCTTTTTTTTAATCTTGAGACCCATCTATATGTGAAGTGTTTTGTCAGCGCAGTTGAACATGTGGAGATGAGTGAATTATAATCATACTGCTGCAGTGGTACAACATGTTCCTGCTGATCCACTTTCTTTCATATCCTTCACCTTAGCACTCTTATGCTCTCATGTGGCTGCAGTCATCTCTTCTGGCTCATCAACATCGGTGCCTCCATCTTGTGCCTCCAAGTCTGTTGTAGGTTCATCAATCTTTTGTTTGTCCCCATCATGTTTATATTCACCTTGGTTTATATGTGTTACAGGCATCTTTCTTGGGATATCAATGCCATAAACACAATCCTGTCTTCTTAGTGAGTCTTTCATGGCAGCAATTTTGTGAACATCTTGTTGATGGATCACTGACACCTTCTCTTGCCTTTTAGCCTTTTTCCTGCAGCTTTGGCATCATCTGCCTGCTTTTGAGCTGAAGTGCATCAGACAGAAGCTGCATCCTTCAATATTTGTGCAGGATGTCTATTAGTATTGGTGTGGACAGGCCAAGTCATGCGGGTTTTTGTGTATTGTTGATTTGATTGTTGATTTGTTGCAAAGTTATGTCAAAAATTTCATTGTTTGTTTCATACAAATCAAGACTGGTCTGTGCGCAAACTCATTGTTAGAAGAACTGAGAGTTCAAAGTCAATGCACTTGATATTATTGTGCAAATAAGTAAAGTACTATACCTGAGAGTTCAAAGTCAATGCACAAAGCATGTAAGACTTGTGAACTCTGCACTATGGGCGAGTCTATGTAAACAAATATAAACAATTCCTAGTATGGCATGTGTCCTCGAAGTCCTCGAAGTTATCTACTAATATAGTAATGTCCTTGAAGTGTCCTTCAAGTCTTCGAAGTCTTAGAAGTCTTCGACCTATCTAGTGTGAAGTCACCACACAACTAACACTCCCCCCTGACTGAACACATCTCTAATCTCTAACAACTCCCCCCTCATCTGTGTAGTCCCATCATCCTGCAAAATAGTTCCACCTTGGGTCGACTCAAAGACTTTGTCAAGATGTCAGCTGGCTGATCAGCTGTGGGCACAAAGATAGGCGCAATTATCTCTTTGTGAACAATGTCTCTGAGCCAATACCAACTAAGATCCAGTTGCTTCATCCTCCCGTGGTGTTCTGGGTGTTTGGCAACAGATATGGCGCTCTGGTTGTCTATTCTAAGTATTAGAAGAACTGAGAGTTCAAAGTCAATGCACATGATATTATTGTGTGAATAAGTAAAGTACTATACCTGAGAGTTCAAAGTCAATGCACGAAGCATGTAAGACTTGTGAACTCTGCACTATGGGCGAGTCTATGTAAACAAATATAAACAATTCCTAGTATGGTATGTGTCCTCGAAGTGTCTTAGAGGTCTGTCCTCAAAGTGTCCTCGAAGTCCTCGAAGTTATCTACTAATATAGTAATGTCCTTGAAGTGTCCTTCAAGTCTTCGAAGTCTTAGAAGTCTTCGACCTATCTAGTGTGAAGTCACCACACAACTAACACTAAGTATGGATGGTGCAGTGGTGGAGAATCCCATCTCCTGCAGCAAGTTTCGCATCCATCGGATCTCCTTGCCTGCTGAGACTGCAGAGATGTACTCTGCTTCAGTAGTAGATAGCGCAACAATGCTTTGTAGCTTAGAAGACCACGAGACGACTCCAGAGCCGATCTTCACCAAGTATCCACCAGTGGAGCGCCCTGTGTCCTTGCATCCACCATGATCAGCATCGAGCATCGGAATAGGTTGAGAACAGTTCGGTGCTTGATGGATCAGGCGCATAAGTGATCTTGTAGTCGGCAGTACCTCTGAGATAGCGAAGCAGGTGCTTGACAGCTTGCCAGTGAGCTAATCCTGGATTCGAGTTGAATCTGGCAAGATAACCAACAGCGTGGGCAATGTCTGGTCGAGTTGTTGTTGCCAGGTACATCAGGGCGCCTACTGCAGCCAGGTATGGGACGGTCTTCATGAGCTGGACCTCTTCAGGCGTCTGGGGCTCTGGGAGCGACTGAGTCGAAGGTTGGGCTGCATGGGAGTGGATATGGGCTTGCAATCAGCCATGCCAAAACGCTCGAGGATGTCTAGACAGTACTGCTGTTGAGATATGGTGATGGAGTGTTTAGACCAGTCTCTGTCTATCTTGATGCCCAGAAGCTGAGTGGTGGGACCGAGATCGCGAAGCTTGAAGTGCTGGGAGAGCTCCTTGATGGTGCGGTCGATGGCAGCAGCAGATTTCGAAGCAAAGGTCATGTCATCTACGAAGACTGGCAGAATGATCCTTACATTGTCCTTTAGATAGATGTAGATGGACGCGTCTGAGTAGGACTGAGTGTAGCCCAAAGACTCGAGCACAGAGCGCATTTTCTGGTTCCATCTGTTGCCTCCTTGCTTGGTGCCATATATGCTCTTCTTCAACAAGCAAACCATCTCTTTGGCATCTCCTTCAACAAATCCCTCAGGCTGCTCCATGTAGACGTCGCAGTCCATCTCCCCATTGAGGTAGGCATGAGATATGTCTATAGAGCGCAGGTGGAGGTCGTGAATGGCGGCCATGGCTAGGACGACTCTTATGCTGGACATTCTGACTGTGGGCGCAAATATTTCGAGGTAGTCGAAGCCAGGTCGTTGATTGTAGCCTTTGGCCACCAATCTGCCTTTGTAGCGCTCCACAGATCCGTCTGCATTGCGCTTCACCTTGAACACCCACTTGCAGCCTATGACCTTCTTTCCAGCAGGTCTGGGGACGAGCTGCCAAGTGCCATTGATGCTGTGGGCATTCAGCTCCTCCATGGCAGCTTGTTTCCACTGCTCTCGCATCAGGGCGCTTCAGAGCTTCGGAGTAGGACAGGGGTTCAGCTGGTGAAGCTGCAGAGAGGACAATCTCATGGCCAAGATCCGCGTCCTCGATCTCATCATCGACATCAGAGTGTAGTTGGGCTGGAGATAGCTTCCACCACTCTCTAGGCTTGGTTCTATTGCGCCTGGGCAGTCTGGCTCCAATGCCAATGGGCGAGGGCGGTCTAGGAGGTGGAGATGGTGGTGGGGATGGAGTTGGAGACGAGGCTCGGACTTGAGGAGGATCTGGATCAATATTAGGGACTACAGGGGCAGCAGGAGGCGCATCTGGAGGACCATTGCTCCCCCCATGATCCTGATACTCATCAGAGCTGGATTCATCATCAGCATCTGAATCGTCAGGTATTGGGAATGTCCTTCGTGTCTGTGGAATAGGTGGGACAGTAGGGCGAGTTGGTGCAAGTGTAGGTGCAGTAGGGACTGGTATCGAAGGCTCAGTAGGGCGCTTCGAGAGGGGGAAATATCTTTCATCGAAATCAGCTCGTTCTGATATTACTGTCTTCTTAGTAGGTGGTATTGTAGAACTTCCAGCCCTTGTAGCCCTGAGGATACCCAATGAACACGCATTTCTCCATGTGAGATCCAAGTCCTTCTCTCTTGTCCTTCTGCACGTGCACATAGGCAGTGCAACCCCAGACTCGAAGATGGGAGACATCTGGCTTCCTTCCATGCCACAGTTCGTAGGGAGTGGCGCTTTTCACTGCGCTTGTGGGGCATCTGTTCCACACGTGCACTAGGGCACCTAGAGCCTCGCCCCAGAATGCCTTGGGTAGGCCAGTTTCATCCAGCATGGTGGTGATGCGCTCAGAGAGCAGCCTGTTGGCTCGCTCTGCAACACCATTCTGCTGAGGACGTGCTCGGACTGTGTGCTGCCGTTCGATGCCACAGGAGTTGGTGAACTGCAAGAAAGCATTGCTCATGTACTCCCCTCCCTTGTCGTCCCTCAGGATCTTGATTTTTCGCTCTGACTGGTTCTCAGCATAAGCCTTGAATGTCTTGAAGGCCTCAAAGACATCAGACTTTGCTTTGATGGGCAGGACGAATCTGAATCTGGAGTAGTCGTCTATGAAGGACACCCAATAGCGAAATCCTGAGAAGCTGGGGTGAGGGACTTGGTGCACGTCGGTGTGGACGAGCTCGAGAGGCCTGGAAGCGCGCCATTCAGAAGGAGGGAAGGGGTTTGCGTGCATCTTGCCAGCTAGGCATGGTTCGCAGATAGGATCTGGTGCAGATTTCGACTCTATGGTCATCCCAGTGACGAGCTTCTCCCTTATAAGCGTCTTAATACCTTCTAGGTGATGGTGAGCGAGCCTCCTGTGCCAGAGGTCGAAGTCTAGGGGCAGAGTCGCAGCTGCAGACGCATATTCAGTTATTGCAACAGTAGAACCATCCAGGAATGCAGCATTCGAGTTGCTGATGCTGGCTACAAAGAGTGGGGTACCAGTGGGGCGTTCGAAGGACATCTTAGATGCATTAATGAGCACAGCGAACCCCATGTTGCGAGTTAGATATAGGACAGATAGTAGATTATTTCGCAAGTCTGGTACATGAAGGACTCTAGTGAATTCTACAGCTTCGACACGCCTCCCATTAATGACTGGACTGAATACCACTGTGCCCTCGCCAGCTGAATAGACTATGTTGTTGTCTGCGAGCTTGATAGGGACGCGTTTGGGCGCATAATTGCGCAGCCAGTGACGATGGGGGGTCATGTGAGAGGTAGCACCTGTGTCTGCATTCCAGTCAGCATGTGCATCGAGTTGCAAGGGGCAAAGGGGATGGGATGAGTCAAAAGTGCGAAGACTTGCATTACCAGCAAATTCCGTGACCTGTTGGGCGCTCTGGGAGGTGTTCTGGGCAGTGGTCGAGTTGGAGGCAGGGTGCAGCGGTGTTGGGAGAGGGTGTAGACGCTGCGGACGATGATTGGGACGCCTCAGAAGCCTTGTTAGCGCTCCTTCCACCTTTTCGACCATTGTTTTTGGTCTTGCGACGATCCTTATCACCTTTAAGACTCCTGCACTTGTGGGTGCAGTGACCAGGCTTCTCGCAGTACCAGCAGGTGACAGAGGTGCCGCATCTACAGTCTCCAGACGCAGTAAACAGCGCTGCATCGGTCCCAGAACCTTCAGGACGTCTCCT